GTAATTATATAATTATAGTAGTGATAGTGAGATATAAAATTTCCTCTGTGTTCACTATATCAGATTATCAAATATTGTAAGTCAAATAAAATTGAAAGCTAATATATATCCATTGGACCTCAAATCTTATGGGCTTATTTTTAGGAAAAGCAATATTAAATGTGTGATAAAAAAATAAAAAATCTTGAAAGATGCCCTGGCTGGTTTGGCTCAGCGGTTAGAGCGTCGGCCTGTGGTCCAGAGAGACCCAGGTTCGGTTCCTGCTAAGGGCATATACCTCGGTTGCAGTTTGCTCCCTCCCTGAGGGTGGCAACCACTCGATGTGTCCCTTTCATATCGATTTTTCTCTTTCTTTCTCTCTCTCTTCCTCTCTCTCCCTCCCACTTCATCTGAACAAAAACCAAAAAACAAAAGGCAAAAATATCCTCGGAGTGAGGATAAAAAAAAAAATCTTGAAAGATCTAATATGCAAGCTTCATGAATTGATCTGGCTTAGTGGATTGTTAAAAATGTTTTTAATAAAAATGTTGTTTTGGCCCTGGCCAGTTTGGCTCAGCGGTTAGAGCATCAGCCTGCGGTCCAGAGAGACCAGGGTTCGGTTCCCACTAAGGGCATGTACCTCGGTTGCAGTTTGTCCCCGGCCCTGGTTGGGTTGTGTGGGAGGCAACCACTCAATGTGTCCCTTTCACGTCAATGTTTCTCTCTCTCTCCCTCCCACTCTATCTGAACAAAAAATGGAAAACTCCTCGTCCTCGGGCGAGGATTAAAAAAAAAGATTAAAAAAAAAATGTTATTTTGTTTGTTTTTCTATTGCCTTAGATTATTGAGAAGAACTAGTTGATTATATTTTTTATTTTTGAACAATACATCATGAAAGCAAACAAACAAACAAAAAATTATTATTATTATTATTTAACTTAATGAGCCCACAGGGAGAAAACTAATTTTTTTAAAAATATTAATTTACCATATAGATAGGTATCTTCTTATTACCAGGTGTGTATTGACTACTTCCCATGCACAGAGCTCTCTGCTAGGCTTTGGAATGTGGGAGTCAAATTCTAAATAACTCAACCCTGCTGATGTATGTTTGAAGTAATGGTTATATTTTTATTGCCTCAACAGAGAAGGGAAATATCCTAGCTCTGTTGTTAAATAGAAATTTTGAAGTGATAAATTAAAATAACTGATACTTTTTTAGGGAAACTTGAGGCAACTTAGTATTATAAATGTTTAAAAGTACATTCATAAGCCAATAATAAAACTGGAAGATAGGATTGCATAAGAAATGTGGACAGTAGTCCCCCTTTACCCACCAGGAATATGTTCTAAGACCCCTTGTGGATGCCTAAAAGCATGAATAGTACCGGACCTTGTATATGCTATATTTTTGCTATACAAAAATTCCCTTGATAAAATTTAATTTATAAATTAGGCACAGCAAGAGATTAACAAAAATAACTAACAAGATAGAACAATTTATAGCAATGTACTGTAACAAAACTTTTGTGAATGTGATCTCTGTCTTCTCTCTGATAACTGATCTGATTACCAGGATGGCTACTAAGTGACTAAACAGGTGGGGAGCATATACTGCGTAGAGACACTGCACAAAGGGATGATGCACATCACGGGTGGAATGGAGCAGGGCAGTACAGGATTTCATGGCCCTATTCAGAAGAGCATGCAAACCAAAACTTATGAGTTGTTTATTTCTGGAATTTTTTTGGACCGTAGTTAATCTCAGGTAACCATGTAATATTTTCAAACCATGGTTAACCTTGGGTAACTGAAACTGCAGAAAGCAAAACCACTGACAAGGAGGGGCTATTTCTTTCTCAGTTAGAAAGACTCCTTTGGAGAGTGACGCTATGTCTCTGAAACTGCCTACTCAGAGCAGTAAATTTATTCTGGTCCAACTATAAGTTTTAGCAATGTGGTCAAAATAATGGCTAATTATACAAAAACTCCTGGATTCCTATGATACTGCTCTTCAGGCTATCGTGCAGACAGCCTACTGTGATCTGCTTAATGTTTTCTGTACTTTTATTCCATCCTTTAACAGCAGTGTCTTTAGTAATGGAAATCAGGACTTAATAACTTTTTCATCAGGTGATAATTATTTAAATAAAGATGGAACTTTCTCATTAAATTTCAAATTTATAAATATTTTCTTTCTTTTTGTAAACTAAATTTATTGGGGTGACATTAGTTAACAAGATTATATAGGTTGCGAGTGTAAACCTCTGTGATACATGATCTGTATATTGCACTGTGTGTCCACCACCCAAAGTCAAATAATCTTCCATCACCATGTATTTGCCCCCCTTTACCTTTCACTGCCTTCCCAGCCCCTTCTCCATGGTAACCACCATACTGTTTTCTATGTCTATGAGTTTCAGTTTTATATCCCACATATGAGTGAAATCATATGGTTCTTAGCTTTTTATAACTCACTTTGCTTAGCATTATATTCTTAAGGTCCATCAATGTTGTTGCAAAGGGCAGTATTTTATCTTTTCTTATGGATGAATAGTATTCCATAGTATATATGTACCACATATTCTGTATCCAATCCTCTATCAAAAAACATCTGGGTTGTCTCCATATCTTGTCCACCATAATAATGCTGCAGTGAACACAGGGATGTGTGTATCTTTGTGAATAAGTGTTTTCAAATTTTTGGGGGTGAATACCCAGAAGAAGGATTGCTGGGTCATATGATATATTTATTCTTAATTTTTTGAGGAATCTCCATACTCTTTTCCATAGTGGCAGTACCAGCTTACATTCCCACCAGCAGTGAATGAGGGTTCCTTTTTCTCCACACCCTTTCCAACACTTGTTATTATCTGTCTTGTTGATAATAGCCATTCTAACAGGTGTGAGATGGTATCTCATTGTAGTTTGATTTGCATATTCTTAATAGTTAGTGAAGTTGAACACCTTTCCATATATTTGTATGTGTTCTTGGGAGAAGTGTTTATTTAGGTCCTCCGACCATTTTTTTAATTGGACTGTTTGTTTAGTGTTGAGTTGTATGGGTTCTTTATATTTTAGATATTAACCCCTTGTTGAACCTGTTGTTTGCAAATATCATCTCCCATTTTGGTTGGCTGCCTTTTTGTTTTGTTGTTGGTTCTGTGAAGAAGCTTTTTAGTTTGATATGGTCCCATTCATTTATTTTTGCCTTTACTTCTCTTGACTTTGGGGTCAAATTCATAAAATGTTCTCTAAGATGAAAGTCTATAAGTTTACTACCTATGTTTTCTTCTAGGTAATTTATTGTTTCAGATCTTATATTCGTGTCTTTGATACATTTTGAATTAATTTTTGTACATGGGGCCAATCTGCTACTCTGTGCCTCTTTATTGGTGAATTCAGTCTATTTACACTTGGGGTAATTATTGATGTGTGAGAATTCCCTATAGTCATTTTTTGTTTTCTGATAGCTCAAACTTATAAATATTTTGAAGGAACACCTTTTGAAACAGACATGTAAATTCTCCACTTTACTTTAGTCTTTAAAGATATTACATACTTATCAGGAGTAATTTTGCTTGCAGAATATTGGCTCAGTAACCTGACTTCTTCAATGCACAATTTAAAACATATTTATTTATTTATTTTTGTTCAGATAGAGTAGAAGGGAAAGAGAGGAAGAGAGAGAGAAACATCAATGTGAAAGGGACACATCGAGTGGCTGCCACCCGCACGACCCAACCACAGCCGGGGACAAACTGCAACCGAGGTACATACCCTTAGCGGGAACCGAACCCGGGTCTCTCGGGACTGCAGGCTGACGCTCTAACCGCTGAGCCAAACAATTAAAAACTTTTAAATAAGCAGAATTTAGGTTTCACAGACATTTTACCTCTGTTGCAAAGTATTTGTGTATTCCTGATAAAATAGAGGAATGATAAATGGAAATTAGTGTTAAGAATTTTAAAACCTGGATCTAGTTTCATTGTTATTTCTTATTTAACAGAGAGGCCTTAGCATATTATTTTAGTTTTAGAAATTTGTTTACATATTAAAAATATAGCGTGATTAATTACCCTGATTATATTAGAGCTATTGGGAAGACAAAATAAAATATTGAGTATTAAAATACTTTAAAAACTTTAAAACAGTCTCAAAACTTATTCATGTGTCTGTGAATATGTATGTATACATGTGATAAAAATAATAGATCCTTATTTGGTTTGAGTTCTGGTTATTTATGGAAGTGAAAGTTATCACTCTTTAGAAAAGTTTGGGAAAGAACAGGACATTGTGTTTTAGATTTTCTTTGAGTGACATGAACAGAACAAGGTCTATAGCATTTAATTTACTTTCTTGGAAAGAAAGCAGCTGAAAATTGACTCCGTCAGGACTTTAACATGGGCTCTTAAGACATAATGGTATTGTATATTTGGCATTACACACTTCCTGAAGTCCTTTTTAATCTTCAAAGATTTTATAAATGTCAACCAATTTGCCCCAGTTTTGTTTCCCAATAATTGGTGAAAATTTGGTGTTCCTTGGGACTTCAAGTGTGTTAACACAAATTGCCACAAATGCATTGTTTCAAAATTAATTTCATGTAGAATCATACACATTCTCCAATGTAGGAGAGACATAAATCTAAACATTAATTTATGAGGCCAGATTTAAATAACAGCATTCGGTCTTTCACAAGGATGACCAAAATTCTGATTTAAGATGGCACACATTGGCTGAAATTAATGTACTGTGCGATAACCCAGAAAAAGCATTCTGTGTATTACTGTTATTATTTTGTACTAAGTTATAATTCCCCACATTGAATTGCCATTTTTAAACATATGTGAATTAGAAATCGTACACAACTAATGCTTTTTGGGGATATCATTGAGAAAACTTGAATGTACAAAATTTTAAAAATGATAAACATCATAAAAGGACATGGAATTGTCTTATAATGGCTATTGGGATACATTTGAAAAAATCTGACACATCTGTCTCTTCTGCTTTTTTAGGCTCCTTTACCTGCAGTAACAGATCTTCCAGAGTTTTTTGTTGCTTCTTACAAATGGCCTGGATGGACTCACGGCCCATTGGATCAAAAAAATTGTGCTGCATCATGGGCTTTTTCCACTGCAAGTAATAAAGTCATTTTAATTACTTCCTTATAAATTCTCCCTTTGACTCTAGGTCCTGGGACAGTAATGAAAAGGTTTTAAAATAAAGAATATTTAAATATTAACATTTGGTTAATTAAAATAAAATTTTATTCTTCAGAGAAAGCAACCTAAAGATTATATAAAAATCTATTTTACTCTGCACATTGGTTTGTAGGGCTTAATCTTAAATAGAGAGTAAATTAAAAGAGAGCAATGAAAAAAAGTTGCCAAATTTGTTTGTCCTTTGAGAGTCAAGGACAGATAACAAGAGTTTAATTTTCCTTTTCATTCTTTATATAATACTAAGATACATAAATTCTTTTCTTTTAAAAATACTTAAAAAAATAAATTGGTAAACTGATTTGATATAAAGTAAGACCAGAATTAACTGATAATGGATTAAAAGGATTTAATCTCATTTTAGATAAAAACAAATATATAGAATCTGAGTCCAAAGTAATATAACTGGTCTTTTAATAAGACTAATTTCCAAATGAGTGTTGCCAATCATTTAGAAGTATAACAGTACATCTTTTACAGCTATTTTTGTATAAGTTCTCAAGTCCAGTAAATCAATACTCAAGTTAATAGCAAGAGTTGGTCTCCAAATTATCCTCAAAGGAGTGTTTGTTGTATTCCAGCTATTACATTGACACTAACACAATATTTATTGGCTGCTATCAAAAATCTTCATAAAACTATGCCCTAAGCTTTGAAGGTAATTGCAAAAGAGTACTCAAATACAGTCTAAGCACTGAAAGCATTATGAAATAAGTACATAGGCTCTTAGAGGAGCCAACTCTGAAGGGGGGGCATTCCTTCGGACAGAGAAGTGCTGACATCTTTGTGTAAATATTATTACTTTATAGTATCAGTTAGTTTGTTCTAGAAATAATGCCAATAGCCAAGGTCAGCTCTGGAGTGGCGTCTGCTGTTAACTTGATGCTACTGCCTACTCCCTCCATATAAATCTTCCCTGACTCTCTGATATTTGTCCTCACTGCATTAGGGGTTTACAGGGGGAACTCTTTGAGCCCTGTTCCAGATGGGTGGAGAGAGATTTAATCAGATATTTTTAATCAGTCATTTTATATTCATGTGATTAATATATTACACCTCCTAGGTGATATATAAGCATTTGCCTTAACTTTGCGCTAGACCAGTATTTCTGAAGATGTCTTAGGAAAGATGGTGGTGGTGAAATGGTGAGAGTAAACTTGCTAGGCAATTAGAACAGTGTGTTCTGGGGTCCCTAGGTCATAGGCCCATAGAAGGCCTCAGCATAGGCCTAAGTCTGCATTTGTACCCCAATAGAGAGAGTTTTCAACACTTTCAGGGTTTCAGAGGATACGGTTTTGTGTCCTGTGTGTTCAGCATGGAAAATTGGGCTGATGCTATTTTAAAAAATGTGTTAGGTAAAGAAAAAAAAGAAACTAGGTTCTTGTAAAGCTCTAGAAAATCACATCACGAAGTAGTAGTTAAAATAACAAAAGTTGTCTTTCGAAGGAGCCAAAAGCTATAAAATGGAATAAATAATACATTGAAATATATACATGCATACATAGATCAATAGTCATTCAGTCAAATTAAATTCCAGCAAAACATCAGAAAGCTGGAGGTGCAAGCTGAAAACGGGGGGAATGAGACAAGCCACAGAGCAAAGTTGGAGACAGAATAAAATAAGCAGAGAAAATAACACAGTGTGTCTCAGAGGTAAAGCCCAATACAAGTTTTCAAAAAGAGAATGAAAAACAATTTGCTGAACTGAGTCATTCTTTAATCTTCTGACCTTTTCCAAGTGTTTCTAGTGAATTTGGATTAAACCTTCCCTGAGATTCAGAAATGTCTGTATAAGAACAACATATTGCATAGCATCAGAATTTAAAATATTTGTCCTTTAGTGAAAATATTCAGATTTATGGGGCTAGAAGAGATCTTAGAGGTCACCTTTTCCAAGTCTTTGATTTTATAAATGAGGCACATATAGGGAAAGGGACTTACCCAGAGCCAAAGCCGTATCAGAAATGATCCTGGAAGTTAGGTTTCTGACTCCTTGAATCTCTACATTGTAAAGTGTATTCTGAGCCAAAGAATAGTTACAATAACATTTCAGAAATTTATATTTGATTCTGAACCCTTGTACTAAAAGTCAAAGCATCAAAGGATTTCTATTTTCTTTTATGAATAGAAAATAATTTTCTTGAGAATAGCAGAGGTGGCAGTATAATGTCATTTGCTGCTATGAAATATATCTTAGCACAGTAATAGTTGGGAATTGAGAAGGAAGTAGGAGGTTATAGATTCAGCACTTACTGAGCATCTAAAATGTGCCAGCAATTGTACTATGGAAATGTACATATGCTGTAGTTACATGAAAAACATGTATATAGAGAAACGCATATGTAAATGAACTATTCTGAAATCAATTACTTTAGAATAATTCTAAATTAGCACTTTGAGGGGTTCCAGTACCCAGACAATAGAAGAAAGGTTATGACTTTGTTGCCTTTAATTAAGAGATTAAACATTGAAACTGAGACTATGCCAGCCAACAACAATCTGTACCAAGATGGCACTCACCCCAAGTTTTTTCATGATCTCATTACTCATATTAGTTTATTATGGTAGCATGATCAAAATGAAAACATGTATAGTTTTCTGCTAATGGTTGATTAGTGATGACTCTCTTGTTTCTTGTTTATTATAATTTCTAGTGCTTAGCACAGTTGTCATCTAGTAGGTGGTCAGTAAATATGTGTTGGGAAAAAGGATAAATTGATTAACAATAAGGATGTAAGAAAATTATTTAAATAGAAGAATATAAGTTTCAATCATAAAAGGTATGTGTGTGTGTGTGTGTGTGTGTGTATATATATATATATATATATATTCCATATCTACTGAAATAAGATTAGGATCATGATTTTCAAGAATACTATAAGCAAAGAAATGTGCTATGTGGTTTTTAGATATTTTATAAGATAGTCATGTTAGTATGGATAAACTTAAGAATGGTCTGTTCGGCAGTTAAACTAGATACCAGTTTGAAAACCAAAAATTTTATTTATTCCAATATATCAAATTAATAGAGATATTTTTCCAATTTATATTTCTATAAACAGTTTTTCATATTTTCTTAGTTTAGTTACATTCATTTAAAAATTATATTTACCCATAACTATATGTAAGATACTGTTCTAGGTGCTGGAGATACAAATATAAGTACATAGGGGCCCGGCCTGAAAGGAGTTTCATTTGACAGATTTCTTAATGAAGAATTCATCAGAATATATAGAATATGAAAGAAACAAGAAGTTGACCTCAATAAGACAATGGGGAAATCCCAAAATCAGACAAAAATTATGACTGACATTATGACATAGTTAGCTTATTGGAATACATACACATATTAATGATCTGTTGCCTTCATCTTAAATTACATAAAGTTTAGAAGACTAGTTTAGTGTTCAAATCAAAAGGGGTATGTAAATTATTAGAAATACCATGTGCCATTTGAATACTAATCACTATTTTATTTGAAACAGGTGTGGCTGCTGACCGAATAGCAATTCAGTCTAAGGGTCGCTACACAGCCAACCTGTCTCCTCAGAATCTGATTTCTTGCTGTGCCAAGAACCGTCATGGATGCAACAGTGGAAGCATCGATAGGGCTTGGTGGTACCTGAGAAAACGTGGGTAAATAGCTGCCCAACATGTATTTCTAGGATTCTTATGAGGGCTGCTTAGAGTTAGAATAAGGGAAAAAAATATATTTCAAAATTTTTACCAAAATAAATGTACAGATATAAACGCTATATCTACATAAATATATGCTCTATTTGGTGTCTACTGAGCTATTGGAAACAATTATTTGAAGCATACTTTCTAGCTAAACTAATAGGAAGACTCAACTAAGCACTGACTTCTTGTTTCTCTGAGCCAAATATCTCCACTGAATCCCCATGGAGTGAACAGAGTAATTGATATCACTAATACTCTGTTGAACCTTTCAGTTACCCAGGTAGATGAATAGATAGTGTCAGGTAAATTAGGCTAGGAATCAGATGAATAATATAAAGAAGTAATTTATAATTGCCTCATTTCATTAGTGTCATTAATTGTCCCCATCCTGTTTGATGAGAAAAAGCAGGTTGCATTTCTTGACTCTCATGTACTCTGATACCCACACAGCACTCTCGTGTCTACTTTGAGAGCTCATCCACTTAAGAGCTGAGTTATTTGGCTGAGTAAACTGCAGGTGATAACTAGTAGTATACATATGTGCTGCTCACCTTTTATTTCCACTGCTCACAGAGTGCCCTCTGACCTGCTATGAAAGAGTGGGGGTCAGATATTGATGGATGGCAATAAATTTTTTTTTTACCTGTTTTGCTAATAAGGTAGTGTTTAGAATGGACTACTTAGGCTGATACCTTTCTGGGGTATTAGTACTTGTTTGGTTTTTGTTTTGTACTATGATAAGAATTAAAGCCCTTTCGGAGATTAAAAATATAAATAATCAATGGGACCCAACTAAATCTTATTGTATTAGTCTGTTTAGGTTAACATAACAAAATACCATAGGTTGGATGTTCTAAACAATGAGCATTGATTTCTCACAGTTCTGGAGATGGAGACGCCCAAGATCAAGGTGTAGCCCATTCAGTTTTTGGAGAGAGCCCTCTTCCTGGCTTACCTTCTCACTATGGTCTCACAGGGCAGAGAGAGAGAGAGTTCTGTCTCTTCCTTTTCATTAGAACACTGACCCATTATGAGCCCCACCCTCAATGCCTCATTTACAGCTAGTTATCTCTTAAAGGCCCCATCTCCAAATACCGTCACTTTGAAGATTAGGACTTTAACATGTGAATTTGGGGTGACACTATTCAATGGATTGCACTCAATATCCCATTTAATGCAAGACTTCTTTTTGAAGTGATTAGGTTTCTAATGGCTTTGCTTTCATTATGCTCTTTGCCCATTTTTTCTTACTTTTAACACTATTGAATTTTCTTGAACCAGTCCTATGGTATACTATAGCCAATTCAACATTAAATAGCTGTAAAACCAATTCCATTGTTTTATTTTTCTTATCTTCTGCTGCTCTATTCAACAAATTATGTTAAATTTAGAGCCAAATTGTATTTTTCTATGTTCAGTATCAAAATTACAGATTAAAATAGTTTTCTTTATCTTTTGTGTAATGTCAGATAACTTTCTTTTTTAGTAACTTTAAATGTTATATTAGCACATACTATTTCTCCAAAGTATCATGCACTACAGACACAGAATAATTGAAGTCTTATAAGAAGATATCTATAACTTAATAAAAAAAGTAAAAAATACCTTTAATTCTAAAACATGTATACTTTAATATATATGTTACACACACACACACACACACACACACGTATGTTTTAGAGAGAGGAAGGGAGAGAGAGAGAGAAACAGTGATGTAAGAGAGAAATAGTTATCGGCTGCCTCCTGCACGCCCCCTGCTGGAGATCAAGCCCGAAACTTGGGCATGTGCTTCTACTGGGAATCAAACTGTGACCTCTCGGTCCATGGGAGGATGTTCAATCTACTGAGCTACACTGGCCAGGCTATATAATTTATCAGACTACCCTACTAAATATAATAAAATTCATCGTCTTCTTTACATTAATTCAGCTCTTCTACATTGTAATTATAGATGCACAATGAAAATGTGCTTCCCTTATTAATAGTACCGCAGATTTTATTGACAGTCACATTTCATCTTCAGGAAATTCTATAATGTAGATTGAATTACTTATTAAAGTGGATTGAAGCTAGATTTTAAAAATTATAATGAAGAAATAAGAGGGAGGCAAGGGAGAGTGTAACATCAGTGAACTGATTTTTTAGAATCTGTCAACCTTTTGAAAGTTACACGTGTAAATAAACAGAATGTTTAATTCAGTAAAATTGCATATAGATAGGATACCATGGCATTTTCCCAAGTATTGCTTTTACTCTTTTGCTTGTTCTTCATAGACTGGTATCCCATGCATGCTATCCATTTTTCAAGGACCAAAATGCTACCAATAACGTCTGTGCCATGGCAAGTAGGTCTGATGGGCGGGGAAAACGGCATGCCACCAAGCCATGTCCCAACAACATCGAGAAATCTAACAGGATCTACCAGTGTTCTCCTCCATACAGAGTCTCTTCCAATGTAAGTCTAAATGGCAAGAATTAACAGTGGTTAACTTACTCAAAAATATATAACTCTGCTGTTATTAACACTATTTAAAAACGTTAAAACTATTACATTATAAGATAAGGCTATGTTTTCAGGTATAACTTTTGATATTCTTATAGTGTCCATTAACAATTTCCAGTTTGGGTAAGATTTCTGATCTTTGTAATAATAGCAGTATAAATGATTGACTTCCATTTAGTGTCCATGGAAATAGAATTTTTAAATTATATTTTAATTACTTATTATACTTGACAAATAACTAAATCAAACCCTTTTTTATTTTTTTTAAATTATTTATTTATTTTTTGTTATAGATGTTTCTCCTTTTTTACCCCATTGGCACCCCCTCCCCATCCCCCCCTGCCCCATCCCTGGCTTTGTTGTCCATGTCCATTGGTTATGCATACATGCATATAAGTTCTGTGGTTTATCCCCCACCCCACCCCCTCTTCTGAGGGATGTCAGTCTGTGCCCTACTTCCATGTTTCTGGGTCTACCGTATTCCTCAGACTGTTATGTTCATTATATGCTGTATATAAGTGAGATCATGTGATATTTGTCTTTTTCCGCTTGGCTTATTTGACTTAGGATAATACTTTCCAGGTCCCTCCATGTCATCTCAAAGAATAAGAGATCTTTCTTTCTTACAGCTCCATAGTACTCCATTGTGTATATGTACCACTGCTTTTTTATCCATTCATCTACTGATGGACACTTGGTCTGTTTCTAGGTCTTAACTATTGTAAATAGTGCTGCTGTGAACATGGGGGTACATATATTCTTCCTGATTGGTGTTTCAGGCTTCTTAGGGTATATTCCTAGAAGTGGGATCACTAGGTCAAATGGAAGTTCAATTGTTGGTGGGAATGCAGACTGATGCAGCCACTATGGAAAACAATATGGTGTTACCTCAAAAAATTAAAAATTAAAAAATTTAAATCAAACCCTTTTTAAATGACTTTTTATTTGTGGTAGTAGCTCATTTTATCAATCCTTTCTTTGCCTTATTCCACACAATTAGATAATTAAAGTAGACATAGCTGTAATGAGAAATTGATGTCCTTAGATTCTGGTTTCTAATGTTAAAAGCACCGGCAAATTTTACTCCATCACATCAACCTTCTGACTTTCAGAATATCTCAACCTTCCCTGCAGAAGACAGTCCAATATTCTGACCATGACATACAGGCTTTCATGATTTGGTTCTCACCTGCTGCTTTTACAGACTCTCGTCTGGCCAGTATCTACCCCTCCTCTGACCTATACTTCTCCTGATAAAAGGACAATTGTCGCTTTCTAGATACACCATGCTCTTTTATGCTTCTCTATTTAGCCAAGGAATTATTCCTCTTACCTAAATGGTATCCCACCTATTTTCACCTAGTAAAATCACACATATGTGTCAAGGTTCAGGTCAAAACTTTATCTTTTCTGTGAGGTTTTCTTGACTCCTAAGTAGGATTATTTTCCTTTTCATATTTGCATCTGTGGTCCTTTGAACTTATCTCTATAACAGAACTTATCATTCTGTAATGTAATTAGTTGTGTTATTGTTTGTCTATTCCACCAACATGTAAATACACTGAGGATAAGTTCTGGGTCAGCATCTGTTTCTATCCTGGTTTCTGGTGATATTTACTCTGTGATACATGTGCTTAGATGAACAAATGAATGAAGACCTTGGCTCTTTACTAAGGGCTGCATTACACATTGGGTAGCAACATTTGTGTGCTAAATCTACACTGAGAAACTCCACTAAACATGCATCTGGAATTGCTCCTATGATTAAAAAGAATGGAGATGGTACTAATCACCAATGATTAAACATGTTTTTAACTTAATTTTTTTTAATCAAATAAAGTTATTATATCTTTTCTCCATTACAAAAGTATTGTCAGTGTTAAAGTCAATGAAATAAACGGGTGCTTATTGTTTTTAGCACCTTCATCAATGGGGCACTTCACAATGGGGTATTTCAAAGCATGATTAATGGCATGTGGCTAAGGCACATTGAGTTGTATAACACCTAAATGGATTGCACAACACCTAACATTATATGCCAGACAATGGAGTTACTATACTCTGATAACAATAACAATGTTCATTGATATTATTTCCTCTAGGAAATTGAAATAATGAAAGAAATCATGCATAATGGACCAGTTCAAGGTAAGTTTGAATAAAATATGGTTGTGTGTTATTTATTCCTTTAATAAACAATTATATTTTAGCTCATCTAAAAGGAACTTAATAAAAGAAAGAAAATGTTTACTTTTTGAGTGCTCATAAGGGTTCAACAGTTCTAAGATCAGTGCAATCAATGGAAACACACTTACATAACAACTTCATTAGGTGTCATTTTATTAAAAAAATAGATTCATCTATAAATTTAATTCTTAAATATTAATGACACATTTGATGGAAGTCTGTTAAATCTTTTCAAAGATATCATGAACCAAACAGTCAAACATAAAATGCTAAGCAGTAGAGCTCATTTAATTGTTTAATCATATTTAAAATTCATACATAGTGTTAGAAATTTTCTCACCTTCAGTTTAAATGGATTGAAAAAAAATCAAGGTTTAGCAGTAGAAATATAGTAGATACTTTTCTTTTTCTATAAACTCAAAACAAATCAAATAAACCAGTATGATTTTTGTGTTTTACATAAAAGGCTTTCTATTTTGATCAATTTTGTGTTATGGATGGTAACCAGTAAATAAGACAATAGTATACTAACTTGCTGTACATTGACTTTGAGTTTTAAGATATCATCTGATACATAGTTTCTCTGCTTACCTATTGAATTTTATTTTGCACCAGAGGCATTGCTAAAGATATAGCTACAGTGTTTATTCTCTGTACTGAACACTGCCTTGAAGGGCATGAGAGAACAAATATAGTGAGGTCTAAAGTAGAAATACAGGTTGTGAACACTGAAAGGCCCAAAATATATTATCGATGTGATGGGATGAACCAACTACATTTAAACTAACCAAACAAATTCAAATAAACCAAAACTTAAATTTAAAATATTTGATATACACTCAAGGAAGTATTGGACAGTTTTTGTTTTCATTTTTCTGAATGCTGACCTAATTAGTATTGATTTCCTCTTCTAGCAGGAATCATGGATTTTAAAATTGTGTTGGAGTAATTTATATTGGTTGTTATTACCATTTAATATTTATTGAGAAGCTGAAGCTTACACTAAACATATCCTGGGACATATTTAATTTTTTAAAATCCTTGGGCCTTAAACCTGAAACAAATGAATAAATTTTTTTTCTTTACAATTGTCTTTTTTTTTTAAATTCTTACCTGAGGATATTTTTCCATATTTTGTTCAGAGACAGTAGGAGGGAGAGAGAGAGAGAGAGAGAAACATCGACATGAAAGGGACACATCAAGTGGTTGCCACCCACATGACCCAACCAGGGCCAGGGACAAACTACAACCGAGGTACGTGCCCTTAGCAGGACCCGAACCCAGGTCTCTCTGGACCACAGGCCGATGCTCTAATCACTGAGCCAAAATGGACAGGGCTACAATTGTCATTTTTGTTGGCTTTTATAAGAGAAGGGCAATGCATGTGTAATTTAAATACATGCTTCAAATAAGTGGAGTTTGTGTGGCGAATTTGAAGGTACACAGGCATTTGAACTCAAGAATAAATTTAAAAATCCAACTTTGATATTGGCTACTTAAATGACTTTGGGCACATTACTTAACCTTGTCTGAACCTTCAGATGATTGCTACTGTTATAAGTTCTCTCCCTCTCTCTCTCTGTCAAAAGAAAGTTGGATCTTAATTATTTCAAACAGAACACCTTAGTTTTCTCTTATGGTTATGTAGTTAAATGCTCATGAATTTCACACAACAAATAGAAGATAAAGATATAAAATTCCAAAATAATAAAGTTGAAATGCAAAGTATTCAACATCCATCAAACAAACCATGGAGAGCCCGTCTGCAGCCATGCGGAGCCAGGTGTGGAAGGCAGAGCTGCGGTGAAGGCGAGCTTCACCCTGCCCCCCAGTGTACACTAGTTCTGTATATGTTTGCAGCAGTTTCCCACAATAAAATTGCACTACAGTAGCTTATAGAGTTAGATGTTTGTGGGTTCATCAAGTCTGCTTTGGTGTCAGAAACTGAAGGAAGGAGTCACCTTCAAGTTCATTGTGATGGCTTCTCACTCGTGTTTCTTTAGTTGGCAGTGTTTTTCAGCTATTTTATTCATGGTGGTTAAGAGAGAGTTGAGAAAAGCTAAAGAAGCCAGTGGTTTATAGAAGAGGAAAACCACTCACAATATCCTCCCCGTTTTATAAATGCTGATTGACTCTTTGCTGTGGATGCAATGTGATTGGCTGCCCATTGTTGCCTGGCTAACGTTGCAATTTCCCTAGTCTCAATACAAAAGGATGTAAAAGGCAACAGAATGTTGAATAAATAACACTGTGTGCATCCTTCTAAAATACGTAGGATTAAAAATAAGTTTAGGTTATGGAAAGAGAACAAAAGCAAAGATATGCATAGAGTACAGTTATATAAATTCTTAAAAAACTATGAGAATATGTTTTAAAGTCGATAAAGAAAACAGCTTCTTTTGAGAAGTTTGAACGGCATCAGAAAAGCATTGGGACATTAAAAATAAAATAAAAGAAATGAAACATTAAAAAGTTCTATTTGACTTTGGAGTAGAAGCTTCATTTTAGTATCTATCAAATGCCAGTGACCTTATTTTATTTATAATGCTTGTCTATACACAGTTATGAAGGATGCTTATCTTGTCCCAAATAAAAATATTTTCAGTTCACATCTCCTAGAAGGTAAGTTTTAAGTCTTCACCCCGAATTGCCCAAGCCCTTCAACCAGCACACAATACAGAAAAGGCATAATCTAGGTGAGGGAATGAAGGAGAGCTTTATAAAGTATAAGCTTTACTTTCTAAAGAATATAGCATTGGCTTAGCTCTCTAGAGCTGGGAGATGAAATCTTGTCAGAATATTCTTTTGCCAAAGGTTTGCTTTTTATTCAAGCTCACCAAGGAAAGATTTGTATTTATTTCTAAGGATTAAGGACAATTTGCTAGGCTCACCCTTCACTGCTAGCTTAATTAGAGTTTCAAGAGACTTGTGGTGAAGCATAAGCTTAATGGAGAAATCGCAAATTACTAGCCAAAAGTAGTGGCCCATCACTGCAAGAGACTCAATTCCTGATAATAGTGCCTCTATTAATTAAGAAGAGATGGTGTTTCAAAAGTAAAATGTATACTTAAGTAACACTCAAAGAGCTAAAAGTTGTACTTATAAGAGAACAAGAAAATATTTTAGTCACAGGTAATTGAAATAACGTGGTACTTGTCTTTCTCTAACTGGCTTATTTCACTTAGCATAATACTCTCCAAATAAACTAACAAACAAAATAGAAACAGACTCATAGATACAGAGAACAAACTGACAGCTGTTAGAGCCCCCCTCCGCTCTGGGGGCTGGGTAAAAAAAGTGAAGAAGGGATTAATCAAAACAAAACAAAATTTGTAGACACAGACAACAGTATGGTGATTACCAGAGGGAAAGAGGGTGGAAGAAGAGGCTGAAGTGGGGGATAAATGGTGTAAAAGTCAAGTCTCTCAGGGTGGTGAACACACAAAACAATATACAGATGATGTATTATAAGAACTGTGCACCTGAAACCTATATAATTTTATTAACCAATGTCTCCTCAATAAGTGAAATTAAAAAAAAAAAGAAAATATTGCAATCAATTAAATTAAATTGAGCAGAAATCAAAAGTCAGTTATATTGCAGAATCCCTTCTTATATTCTACCCCTGGCAATTTACCCATCGATTGTTTTATGAGAATTTCTGGGGCTTTTTAAAGATAATATTTTTAACTGTCATTTTTTCTGTTTGGTTTTATTTTAGCCATAATGCAAGTCCATGAAGATTTCTTCCAGTATAAGTCAGGGATATATAGACATGTGACCAGCACAAATGAAGTATCAGAAAAATATCGAAAGCTTCGGACACATGCAGTCAAACTCACTGGGTAAGGCAATTCTTCATTTAATGCTTTTGAAAAATGAAACCCAAAAAAGTGTTATGTATTGCATTTAGGTACAAAAATTCCCCTTTGTATGGAGAGAGTCTGATACAAATTAAAAACTATCTGAGCCTTAACAATCCTTAGTCATTTTAAAGTTGAGTAAAAGGGAAACTTAAAATTCTGGGTAAAATGACCGTTTCCTATCTCTCATTTACTTGTAAATATGTCCTAAGAATCTGTGCCAAGGGCAAAGGAAATATATTATTTCAATAATACATTTTACCTACGGCATAACTGAGGCAAGGGTGCCAACCCAAAATGTATTAGGATTTGGTGAAGAGGTTTTGAATGAAATTGCAAATGGTAGAGATTAAGCAGGAAGGGAATGTCACCTTTCAGTCAATATAAGATTACTTTTAACATTTATATGAGAATTGTGGAATGAATATTTATCAAATTTGTGAATAACGTACATTCAGCCCTGCAAGGGCAAGAAAAGGGTTTAAAATGTGGTAGTATTTCATAAATAGAGCCTACTCGGAAAGAGTGGGTAGTCATCAGAGACCACTTTCCCAGGGTCTTCTCAGTCTTATTCTGACTCTGCCCAGTTTGCTAGTCTTTTCTCACGATGTCTCACTCCAGTTCAAATTAAATGCTGTGAAAAAGATTGTGCAGGATTTTCTGTTTGTTTCCATCGCAAACCTTCACTTTTCTCATCTGCCTCTTATGGTAAATAACTTCATTCCTGTTGAATATGTCCTTTCTGTTTAAATTTGATTGAACCTGAACCAAATCAACCTCTGCTGCAATCAACTTGCTACCTTCTTCTTACTGACCTTGGAAGCCCTCTCAGTCAGTTCTAAGGTATGTAGACCAGTTACCCATTGCGAAGTCTAATTATCATGTCTCTTTCATTTGAAATACTCTGATATTTCCATTATACAATTACTACATTTGTTTGAGTCTAAGATACTACAGATTTTATGGCTTTGCTTGATTTCAAGGATGTGAACATATGTGCATCTTAGAATTGAAATAAATTTCAAATTAATGTAGGATATTAAAACAACAGATGATGCCTGGCCAGTGTGGCTCAGTGGTTGAGCATTGACCCGTGCACCAAAAGGTCACCAGCTCCATTCCCAGTCAGAGTGCATGCCCAGGTTGTGAGGCCTGATACCCAGTGAGGGGCATGCTGGAGGCAGCCAATCTATGTTTTCTCTCATCAATGTTTCTATTTCTCCCTACTTCTCCCTTCTTCTCTCTCTAAAATCAACAAAGGGGGTGGGGGTTGAGATGAGAAAAAATGTAGAGATAATTTCACAATTCAGTGATAACTTCTCTTGAGGGTTAGTGTAGTTTTATGTATCTCCTAAATATATAGCTATAGAGAAAGATCGCTAAATTTATTTTATAGGAAATGAGATGCAAAAGTACTTAAAAATTTTTAATGACAAGAAAAATTTTCCTAGAATTTTTATTAGCAGTGTAGAAGAATGCCAATTTCTCAATACGCTTTTAAACACTGGGTATTTTAGATTTTCATGTAGTCATATTAAATTCCCCAAATCATTATTAACATTTGGTGAAAGCATGTCATGCAGGTCTTTCTCTCTTGCCCTGGCCGGTTTGGCTCAGCAGTTAGAGCGTCGGCCTGCGGTCCAGAGAGACCCCGGTTCGGTTCCTGCCAAGGGCACATACCTCGGTTGCAGTTTGTCTCCAGCCCCAGTTGGGTCATGTGGTTGGCAACCACTTGATGTGTCCCTTTCACGTCGATGTTTCTCTCTCTCTCTCTCCCTCCCACTCTATCTGAACAAAAAGTGGAAAAATGTCCTGGGGTAAGGACAAAAAAAAAAAAAAGTCTTTCTCTCTGTTGCTGAAAAGTTAGAGAGACAAACAAAAACAGAAATGTAATAGGGATAGCATCATTTTAAAATACTAATATTCAGGTTTATTTTACTTGAATTTAATGAAATAATGTGAAATGAGATATTTTTGATTCTTTAACAAAAGAGATGCTAGTTTCTAAAAGAACACTTTATACTTAAGAGAAAATATATTAAAATAACTAGTGATTAGAATAATAATCCATTTTTAACTTTGTATTTCAATTTGAGATTATATTGATTTGTTAAAAGACAAGATGAGGAAATTTATTAGTCTTATACCTTTTTCCACCTCACCTTCTCTCATACACCTTAAATATATTAGCAATATTATTTTTACATATTAAGGGTTAACAAATTTGCATTCTTCTCTGAAACCATAATATACATAGTTTATAATTTTGTATATGTTAATGGAGTCAATGATAAGCAAATACGGATGCTGGTTTTTCTGTTCTTAAATTTAATTTGTATTAATTATGTTATTGGGTGAATTTTACTTTTATTCAGAAGGGCTCTGATGTCTATAGTCTTTCATTTCTTGCATGTTTGAGAAAGTATTTGTTTTCTCTTCTATTCAGGAATAATTTTGATAAGTATAAAATCCTAGAACTATAGAACTTTTCAAACTTTGTAGATAGGGCTCCAAAGTTCCTGGCATTAGTTTTCCTGCAGAAAATTCTTTGGCCAACCAGATGTTTTGTCTCCTTATAAGTGACATGACCTTTTCTACTCAAAGACTCATACTAACCTTTCTTTTATTGTTGAATTAGCTATCTTCACCTTTTAAAAATATATATTATACATACACTAGATCTTCTATATCTGCTTTTATATTTTAATAATATTTATATTATAATTCTTTTTTTTTAGAATTAAAAAATGTTCTTTATTGATTTTAGAGAGAGAGAAAGGGAGAGGGAGAGCGAGATGGAAACATCTATGAAAGAGAACATCGACTGGCTGTCTCCTGCATGCCCCCACATTGTGGATTTGGCCCATGACCTGGGCATGTGCCCTCACCCAGAATCGAACCGGCAACCTCTTGGTGCATGGGTTGATGCTCAACCACTGAGCAACACTGCCTGGGTATATTATAATTCTTTATTATTTCATTGTATATGATGTTCTTCACTCTGTCCCATATATCCATAAATAGTTATCATAGTATTTGATGCTCATTTTCCAAAGGCCTTTTGCCTTTGAAATGTGTTTTAATTTTTTCTCTTCCCTTTCTTCTGGTTGTCTTTTCATGTGTTCTTTGACCTGTATTTAGAGACCTCATGTCTGTGAATTCTTTGTGTCTATATCTGACTTCTCCTATTTCTTTGAGTAGTTCTTTATGAGCTACAGTCTTCTTTATTTAAAAAATTTTTTTTTCTTTATTGATTTTAGAGAGAGAGGAAAGGAGAGGAAAAGAAAGATAGAAACATTGATGAGAGAGAACATCGACTGGCCACCTCCTGCACATCCCCCACTGGGGATTGGGCCCACAACCTGGGCATGTGCCCCTATCAGGAATTGAACTGGTGACCTTTCGATGCATGGGTTGATGCTCAATCACTGAGCCACACTGGCCAGGCAAGCTATAGAGTCTTCATATGTCTTTTGCCTAACTTCTTTTAAAATTTTTAATCTCTAATCTATGCATTTCACCCTCTATCACTTCCTCTTTCCAGTCCACTCCCTCTATTTCCCTGAACCCAACTGTCATTCAGCCCCATAAATACTTTCAACAAATTATTCTATTCAATCTGACCACCATTTAACAGTCTCTCTTCTCCTTGATGCCCACACTCTTTATTATTTAGTTAAGATTCCATGGTGATTCATTATAATCATTCACACACACCCTAGATTCTTCTGCCCTTGTTTGATTCATCATATTGGCTTAGCAAAATCTCAAATCTGGTTAAATTATAAATAGCCTATTTTGTACCTACAGGTATGCATCTGAACACAGCCAGAAAAATTCATAACTATGCTGGTTTCACTTTTATTTATAATCACAAATTTCAAGTAGTTATTTAATACTGCCAGGCGATTATATTCTGGATTTTTATTCTGTTTACTGGCCCACTCCTGGTGATTATCTCAAAACCTTTTCTCTTGTCTGGAATACCCAGTAACTCTTCTGTCAAGCTCTTAGTTGATAATCTTGACTTCTGTTTCACCAAAAATATTAAAGCAATCAGAAATGCCTCCCAGTATCACATATGCCGCCTCTCAGCATGCACTCTCTCATATTCTTCCTTCCACTTGTTACATAGATAAAGCATCCATGCCCTACTTAAATCTCTGTTGCTATAGTGTAGACACCAACCCTGTCCACTATTTGAGAATTGCAGGAGCAATTTTCCCTTTCATTCTTTGTAATCGGCCTTTTCTGCCAACATACATACATGCCATTATTTCTCAGCTATTATGAAAATAAAAATTTTCTCCTGACTCCACTTTCTCCATACTCCATTTATGGTCTTTCCTTCATAGAAAACTCCTTGCAAAATTAGTCTGTCCTTACTCTCTTCGATGTTTTCTGCCCATTTTTTCTTAAATCTTTCTAATCACATTAATTTGCCCATTCCTGTCCATAAAAAAAATATTTATTTCAAAGTTATTAATGACTTCCACATTGCTATATTCATCAGTCAGAAGGCAGATCTGCCCATCATTTCCAGCTGGTTTTTCCTTTCTGGCTGTGACTTTTCAGTGTTCTTTGCTAGTTTATTTATTTATTTTTTTCTCCCTGTACTTCTATACTTCTTAATGTTGGAGTATTCCATACTCAGTTCTAGGTCTTTTCTCTCATCTATTCTCATGCATTCTCTGATGAACTCATCAGTCTCTGAACTCATCCTGGCTTTGAGAACCATTTTAACCTGACACTGACTGAATTTATATCTCCAGTCCAGCTCTCTCTTCTGAACTGCAGACTCATACATTCCATGGTCTACTTGGATACCTAATAGATGGCTCAAATTCACCACTTCCAAACTGATCTAATTCCTGCCTTTATACATGCTGAACAGCACAACCTTCTCCACCTTAGTCAATGACAACATCCTTGTATAGACTCTGGCTGGAGACCTTGAAATTCCTTTCCTTGGAATTCAATTT